TGGTCACTTGCCTGGAAGCAGTACTCACACCTAGGGCACGGGGCCTCAGGTTCTTCCCCGCATCTCTAAGCCTCAGCTTTCACAGCTGCAAAATGGGACAACACAAGCCCCAGCCCCAGCCCTCAATAGGGCCTCCCCGACAGAGGCTCTTCAAACACATGCAAACCCTATCCCTCCCATCTGGGTGGTGACCACTGGCACCCACAGAGCCAAGGCCTCCCCCTCTCTCCTCCTCCATGTTCTCCCCATGCTAAACCCTCTGACTTTCAATATAAAGTCCAGTCCCTTAGGCTGACAGTCAAGGTCTCTGCTTAGCTCACACCTTTTCTTCGGACAATCCTCCAAAAGCATCCTCTGTTCCACCCGTACTCCTTCCCTAACCTCCCACCCTTCCTCCCCTACCCAGTTCCAGTGAACTCCATGCACAAGCTCCTTCCCCAGGTCTAGAGAGATGCTCTCCTTCTCTCTGTGCCCTAGAGGACTCCTACTCATTCTTCCAGACTCGGCCTTAGTTCCTCCTCTCTCGCGGGTTTCCCACGCCAAAGGTCATGTGGTTCTTCCTCCCTGGTTCAACTCGCCCCCAGGAGTGGAGCCATCCAGCAGGATCAGATAGATCCCTCTTTTTTGTCCGTCTTTCCGCTGGGCTGAGAAAGAGGCCCTGGCGGAATCACCTGTGTCTCCAGAGGGGGCGCTCAGTAAACATTGCTGAATTGAAATTCCTCTTTCACAGAGGAAGCTGAGGCTCAGAGTAGGTAAGAGGAAGATGAGGCTCTGTCCCCAGGCCCTCCCATACACACCAGAAGCTGGGGGAGGGGGCTTACCTGGTTATTGGACAGCGGAGAAGGGAAATGGTGCGTGTGCAGGTTCTTGCCAGTGAGCACGTGCGTCAGCCTCACCGCCTGCCCGCAACGCACTGGAGACCCTCGCGGGCACCCACCCTCCGAGCCGCCGCGGATCCGCCAGTAGCTATTGGCGTCGTCAGACGCCTCCACGCCGGTCACCGACTGTTGGCCGCTGCCTGACGGCGATACCCCACCCCACCCGCGGGGTCGCCGTCAATTCCAGAACTTGAGGCCCTCGGACCGAACATCGTAACTTCCCCGGACAACCTCAACCCTGGGACCCCAAAAGCTCCCCCCAAACCCGCACCCCTGGCCCCCGGCTTAACTCCAAGTCGTTTGGCCCAGAGCTCCCAGGTGACCATACTGATCCCTGATATCCCGAATACCCCCTCCAACCTCCTGTCCTTGTCCCCCTAGGTCTCCCAGTAACTCCAGCCAGATAACCCCCAGACTCCTGGCCCTCAGACCACCGAAGATCACCCAGACTTCAAACTCCCAACGCCAGGCCCCGCCCCTAGCGATGCCCCAGTCCTGAGCCCCGCGCACCGGATCCGTATTTGATGTCGTGGGAGTGCAGTCGCACCCTGTGCTGCGTGTTGAACAGCTTCAGAACCGACCCGCAGGTCACGAGCCCCGCGCCGGTCTTGGCGGCACCGCTGCCCGGCACCAAGAGCGCCAGCAGTAGCCCCAGAAGCGCCGCTTTCGCAGCTTGTCCACGGCTCGCGCTCCACATCGCCCCAGCCCGGCTCCGCCAGCTCGGGCCCTTGAACCGCTTCCTTCTCTGCAGCCGGCCAATCCGGCTTTGACAGGGCCCGGCGCCGCAGCCAGTCGCCGGTCTTCACGGCGCTCCGCCTGCCCTACTATTCGGTCGCGGGGGGAGGGACCCTCCCCCCAGCTCTCGAGAGCGGCCTCTAGGGAGGGGGCTGGAGACACGAGGAGGGTTTTAATTGGTCCACGCTTCCGAGGACTCACCAATGACACCGAAGGGAGGCTGGTGCGTCTCCAAGCCGTGGGAGAGCTACCCGGGTGCGGCTGTTGGTTGAGGGCGCCCCACCCAGCAGCCTCTGAACCCGTTCATGAATCTCCTTCATTCTAGACCTCCGAGCTCTCAATCATGGCTCTGCTCAGACCCTGGGTCCGCCGCTGCTGGGTCTTGAAATTGCTCGACCGCTAGATTTTGTGGTCACAAAGTTGACAGATCTCAGATACTGAATCATCTGGTCATTCAGTTCCCAGGAATTAAGTAATGTCCCATTCACTAGGCCATTGCCCCCTCTTTGACGTTGGGTCACTCTGTCCCAAGACCCCGGGGTTTCTGAATTCACGTGACCTCTCACCTACTCCTTCCATTACACTATTGCCACTGGGCAGCAGAGGGCAGCAGGGAGCTGCGGTGCTGAGGATAACGGTACATTCTCACCGGAAAGCCCCAAAACTGTCTTACGAAAGCAGAGCCTTGGTAGACCAAGTGAATGATGGTAGGAACCAAGCCTGGATGATTGTGTCCCAGGTTTCTGACACGCACGGGCCCCAGTCTCACTGACTTCTCAGAGGGCTGTCAGTTCTGTCTTCAAGGGTCAAAAATTCACATCCTTATTTATTTATCCATTAGTGGAACATTCTTATGTTGTCTTCACTCCAGGCCCTGTGCTGAGGCCACAGGGGAACTGGCTCTGGGATACATTAACCAACAGGCTGAATGCCCATGCACTTGGAGCACCAGCAAAACAAGGAGAAAAGTTCATGGTTAATGAACTTATCCAAAATTTTACATTCCGAAAATTCAGAGCAGAGCCATCTTAATTACAGCAACATGTTATTTTGGGGTTTTCATGTTTACTATTGTTTTTATTTCAAATTACTTATGAGATAGGGCACCTTGATCTTTCTAGCACTTACAGTGTCTAAATTGCTAAAGGTCTGCCCTGGCTTTGATAAATCCTATACTTGAGGGGCCTCCAATCCAGAGCAGAGGGGTTAGGGTACAATCTGGGAAGGAAGGGTGTGTCCTGTTGGACATACCAACAAACATCTCAAACTTAACACATCCAAAGCAGAATTCCTGGTCTCCTCCCTCAAACTGCCCCTCCCACCACCCCAGGTTTCCACATCCCAGTAATGGCACCTCCAGTTACCAGTTGCTGAAGCCAAAAACTGGGGGTTCATCTTTGATTCCTCTTTTTACCTCACGTCTAACCCAACACTATGATTCCAAAACAGATGGCAAGGCATCTGTCCTGCCTCCCTCATCTCTACCATAATCCAAGCCGCCCCATCTCCCCTCCAGACATCTACCACTGCAGCCTAACTGATTTTCCTGCTTCTGAGGGTTTTACAATCTCTTATACCCAAAATGGACTCTTGTTCTTTTACTGAGCTCACTCTAGAAGTGGAATATAAAATAAAATAAAATAAAATAAAATCCAGCATCATGACAAATGGTTTGGAGCCACGTAAGTCTCAGAGTGGTTTCTTACACAGCAACAGACATCCGAAACAGGAGCTAAGTCCAGGTGTCTCTAGTACCACGTGCCTCTAAGGCTGGGGTGAGGATATATTCAGTTCTCCCTTGAGGACTTAGCAATGGGACCTGGGAAGTTGGAGGGCATCACAGCAGCTGCTTGTCTCTCAGAATGTTGGGACTCCCCTTCTTGGCTCCCTTCTGCCACCAGGACTTCTTGTTTCTCTGGAGAGCATTGGAAGATGGCTGCTCCTCTCCATCCACACCATCAGTGCAAACTAAACCAGTCTCTTGGTGCATCCCAATTGCAGGTTCCTGGGACAGAACCTGACCGGCTTAGCTGGGACTAGGGATGCGCCAACACAGCCAAGCAACTATGGCCAAGTGGTATGGCCACGAGGTATGAAAACAGCTGTCAGGGCCCCACGCTCTGCCGGTGGTGGCAGTGGATGGCCTCATGGAATGGGTTTTATGGGCTGAGCATGTTCCCTAAAAGGTCCTTACCAAAAAAGCTCTATGGAAAAAAATGGGTCCCTGACCCTCCACCTTAAGACTCTGGTCCCTCTGACTGGCAGTGGAGCAAGTCCTCCTCCCTGAATCGCAGGATTAGGTGTTGTGTGGAAGGTCCTCCCTGCCTGGCTCCAGAGGAAGCCCTACAGTTGCTGCATCCTTACCTGTGGGCCACTGAGCGTTCTCAGGCCGGGTCGAGCAGGCCTGGCATCTCTGCACCCGGTGAGCTCCCTGGGGAGGCATGAGAGACCTACCTCCTACGTGGTGAGGCAGCGTGGAGCATCTTCATGAGTTCTCTCAGCCATGGGAAAGGAGTGAGGGGAAGGTTGAGCTGGTCCCTGGGCCAAGATGTCTTGTCAGGGGAGCAAACAGACTGCTCTAGGAAGGCAGAGGGGAGGAGAGTGCTGAGCTGTGGCACAGGGAGGCCAGAAGCCCCAGGAGAACCTTGGGAACCTGCTGTGCCCACAGACCATCCTGGAGATAGTAGAGTGGTCCTGCCCAGGGCCACTGCAAAAAGGGTAGTCCTGTGACCAACCTGGGGCAGCCGATCCTGTGCTTGACCAACCAGCAGCCCCCATGTGGCTTGGCGTGCAAGCTCCAGATTCAGAAGTTGGAGATGAGAAATACAAATTAGGAAGACAGGTAGCTGTGGGAGCAGCAGGAAAACCGCATTTCTTCAGTCAGAATGTGAACTGTGGCATGTCAAAGGGAGGAGGGAGCCGCCCCGGCAGAGCAGGAGCCCTCTGGAAGGCAGGAGCCATGATGCACAGGGGCTGCGATGGAGAGGGACCACAAACCCTGATGGCTGGAAGAGCCAGGAGGATGCGGGCTATGGTAGAGAAAAGCCATGAACAGGGATTTGTGTTCAACAGAGCATGTGAGGTCACGGGGGTCAGAGGACTGCGGGCTGCCAAGAAGGCCAGCTGCAGCCAGACCTGGCCCGCTATAGGCGCTCTTCATGGGCAGGTAAGCAGGTGCACACAAGGGAGGCTGAAATTACCAGACAAAGGAAACTGTGCTGCATCAACAGAAGCTTTATTTTTCCTCTTGGCTCTCTTGAGAGGCTGAGCAGAGTTCTTTGTGGACATTTAGCCCATTGTGACCTCTGCTGGGAGCAGTGGCTGGCTGGGTGGGCAGCACTTCCCTGGAGCAGGAGGAAGAGCAGGAAATCCAGAACTCGGTTCAGCCTAGCGGGACCCTGGAGGAACCTCCAGGGCCTTCTGTGGACTGGCTGATCTCTGCCTCCACTTGAGGCTTGGGGTTCTCCAGGTCTCATTCTCACCCCTAAATGTGTAGTCCTCATCCTCCTCCTCCTCCTCCACCTCCTCCTCCTCCTCCTCCTCCGCCTCCTCCTCCTCCTCCTCTTCCTCAATGCTCTGGCTCTCCCCCATGTCCACTGCTTGCTCAGACTGGCTGGAGCCTACGCCAGCGCTGTAGGTCATGGAGAGCTTGGGCTCCGAGAGATGTGTGGGCGAGATGTGTTCCTCAGTGGTATTGTTCTCCTGAGAGGTGGGCAGCTGGGAGCCCGGCAACACAGTGTGGAAGCGGGGATCCTTGGCCACCTTCTGACCCATGGCAATGGCTGGCTTGGGCAAGGTGGAGTGGGACCCCGTGCTGTGCTGGGAGGTGCCCCTGTGGGAGGCAGTGTGACGGGAAGTGTCACGCTGGGAGGTCTGCTGGGGTACCTGCCGGGCCCACTGGGCCTCCTCCAGCTTTTGCAGCAGGCAGCTCCAGTCGACCTCCGAGGACAGGCAGATGTGGGAACCTTTCACCTTCTTGAAGCCCAGCAAGAGGTCCATGAGTGTTTCAGTGATGGGGAAGGAGATGAAGCCCAGCTGCTTGGTGAGTTTCGTCTCAAACTTGTACTTGTAAACAAGTAAGGAGACAGCCTGCTCCATCAAATAGTTGACAAGCTCCTCATAGCAGGGGTTGGACAGGTGGGACGTGGACTTGGACGAGATGGAGGGCAGTGTCGTCTTCTTTGTGATCTCGTCACTGGGGCTCTGTGCAGCAGCCAGGGAGGAAAGGGAGACATGTCATGCCACGCTTGCTGCTCTGGGATGCCCCTCACACCCAGGACACCCTTCATGTTACCCATGTGGACACCACGCCTGTCACCCTAAGGATGTGGCCTCGACACTTCTGCTCTGCTGTCCCGCTAAACAGCTGAGTACAGGTTCTGCACGTCAGCCAGCCCTCACGCTTACCACACTACCATCACACTGGCCACACCGGTCGGGCCCAGGACAAGGCCGGTGACTGTAGCCACACTGTCAGCCAAACTAGAGCCTGGACAATATAGCCTCCCGCAGGTTCTTGCCAAGCCCAGGTTCAGAGAAGGGAATTGTGCCTGTGCCTTGATGGGTGAGCCACCTACATCCCTTCTATACCCTTCCCGGTCAACTCCCTGTCATCAGGTCACATGTACTGGAGTCCTGTTCAAAGCAGCAGGATCAGAGGGTACTAGACCTAGGAGGCAGGGCCCCCCTCGGGGCTCAGGCTGCTGCCCACAAGGGATAGGACCCTACCCACATGGGTGGGTCTCCAAGGTTCACATGCATACGTTAAAAAAAATTACCCAAAATTAACAATAGTCTTTATTTATCTTTGACAACACCTAGCGGTAACCAGGCCAGGGTTCCTGGGTTCTATCAGCTTGTCCCTTGCTCAGGTGGTTTCCACAGTGCAAGGCAAGAGATCTGAACCATGGGCACCTGCCAGTGACAGTGGCTATTAGAAATGGTGGCTGAAGGGGCCCTTCTCTTGCATTCCTGCCCCTAAGCCCCCTGGAACCGCCCTTGAGGAAGTCGTCTCTGGTTACAGTGAAGTGAGTGGTGGGGAGAAGCTTCTTTCCAAGGAGCTGAGTGGTGAGAATGCAGGGAAGTGGTGGGAGGAGAGTGGTGGTGGCAGGAGAGAGGGCAGGGGGAGGCAAGTGGGGCTGTGACTTGGGTGAGGTGGGTCTGGCTGGGCACTTCCACCTTGATCCCCGGGGCGGGCAGGGTGAGGTGTAGTCTCCGCCAGGGCTGGGCCCTTGGGCTGGGGCCCAGGGGCCCAGAACAGAACACGGGTGGTCTCTGTTCTTTGGGGCCCCAGTCAGGAGCCGCCTGCCTGGGGTGGGGTGAGGGGACCTTGGGCTCTTCTGTGGGTATGACCTGGAGCCTGAATTTGGTGGCCCCTTGGGCACTAGACATGGGAGAACCACGCTCCTTCAGCTTGCCCTCTACTCTGGACTTGGTGCTCTTTTTTTGAAATTTCTTGAAGCTGGAGGTCGTGGTGATGGGAGAATCACAGGGCTCCTCCGCTTCGGTGGGTATGGCCTGCTTAGAGGCTGGCGTGGTTTCTACATTGGGCTCTGCGCCGGGCTCCCATTCTGGTGGGAAGAGAGGGGAGCCGTTCTGGCGGCAGGCGCCACTGAACTTGTCCACAGCCTGGCTGACCACACTCTGCAGGGCAGGGAAGAGGTGGTGCTTGGCCAGGAAGTCTAGGGTCCGATGGGGCTCACGGAGTGAAGAGTAGCCAGGCAAGTTGAAGGACTCGGGCTGACTCAGCAAGGACTTCATCTCCTTGTTGAACTCTCTCTTGAGGAAGATCGGCTCTCTCTCTTCAGGACCCAGCTCTGACGCTCCCGGAATGCCCGAGCTTGAGCCCAGTGAGTCCCACAGCAGGGAGTCCCCCTGGGAGCAGGACTGCCCCAGGCTTTTCTGAAGGGAGAGAGGGATTCTCAGAGGTGTCCAGGAACAGCCAAGCCAGGCTGGAACCCAGGCTCTGGGCTGCGCTCCATCCCACCTACCCCAGGCTATGGCCTCACAGCTCACCCCTCTGTTCTCCAGCTGCAGCAACCGTTTGAGGCTCTTCTCCTGCAAAAGTCTGTCCCTCATGGGTGGCAGTGGGCCCAAACCACGGTAGCCCAGGTTGCTGTCCTGGCTGTGGGAGCCCAAATAACCAGCTGTGATGCTGCTATGTGAGTCAGATGTGGAGCTGGAGCAGGATGGGTAGTTGTTGGGGTGCCCAGTGCAGAGGCTGGGCTGGACACGGTGCCGGTGCACAGTACTCAGGCTGGGCCGGGCACGCGCCTGCCGCCCTCCCCTTGGCACTTCCACTGGGTCCTGCACCTCCACCAGTGGCACCCCAGTCTCTGTCTTCATGGTGGCCATGCGCTCAGTTGCTTCCTCCACCACCCTCTGCAGGCTGTCCAGCACCTGGCCCTCAACAAGAAAGTCCAGGAAGCTACCAAAGGTCTGAGGGCCCTTCCACTTTCGACGGTGGCTGCGAAGCCCTGAGCTACCTGAGGGGCCACACATCGATGGTGGGTGTGGCATGTGGTCCAGCCTGGAGGTCTGCCCCATTTTCAGGAATGCTGGCTTCTTAGGTGGCTGCACCTGAGTAGACAGGGATGTCACAGTGGGCAGGAATGTCCCAGAGGAGGATGGAATCCCTGGGGTCTTCCTAAAGAACCAGGAGCTGGGTGGGTAGTGGGCAGTGGAAGGAAATGTGTTTTGGAGTCAGGTAGCCCTGTGTTTGGACCCTGATTCTGCCACTTGTTCGTTGATGGGCACAGTGGCCCATCCTGAGGTCGTTTCCTGGTCTGCAAAGTTGGGGTCTACTTAGGGTTGTTCTGAAGTTTCCCTGACATGTACATTTCACATACATGAACCTGGGCCTGGGAGCCTGAAAGTCCACTTCTGTCCTCACACAGGGTGTGAGTAGGTAATCACAGAACCCCTCTGAGTCCTACTTGGGCTCTTCATCTACCTGTGGAGCAAGCCAGTCCTGCTCCACTGTTGGGCTGCACAGACCACCTGTGGTCCTGAGCCCTGCACACTCCATGGCGGCTTCTGCAACTTGAGTCCGAAGCCCTGAGCAGACTCCATGATCCCACTAGGGGGCTGAGTCCATTAAGCCCCTCTAAGGTCACTGGAAGTCAGGGGACACTGGATGAAATTGAGGGTTTCTAGGACCTAGCAGGGGGTCAGAGCAGTTGTCAGGAGATAAGGACATCACTAAGAGGCCCAGAGAGGAAGTCAATAGGAAATGAGAAAGGGATGTTGTAAAAAGAAAGAAAAAGAAAGAAAGAAAGAAAGAAAGAAAGAAAGAAAGAAAGAAAGAAAGAAAGAAAGAAAGAAAGAAAGAAAGAAAAGAAAAGAAAAGAAAAGAAAAGAAAAGAAAAGAAAAGAAAAGAAAAGAAGAAAGAAAGGAAGAGAAAGAAAGAAAGAGGAAGGAAGGGAGGAAGGAAGGAAGGAAGGGAGGAAGGGAGGGAGGAAGGAAGGAAGGAAGGGAGAGATAGTTGTGATCTAGCACACCAGAGCTGGTGAGGAACATGATAAGGTCGGTCCGGCTGCAGAGTGAGGCCCTGCCAGGCACATACCCGTTCCAGGTACGTGGTGTGGCCGGCCTCATCATCAGCCAAGTATCCTGAGTGGTGGCGACAGCTGGTCATGATGTGGGTACCCAGCGTCCGCCGCCAGCCTCCTCTCTCTTCAGTTCTGTAATGCAGCTGCGGATTTCTCTCTGCGCCAGGTAGGGAGATGACCCGAGAGTCTCTCCAGGGTTCAAGTCTCCATCCTCCTGTTGGACACTGGGTCAGTGGCCCAGGGGGTCCACAGGTTCCTTGCTCGCCCTATCCCATGTGCCTCACGCAGCTGGCCCTTTTTCTGCTCGGAGTCCCCTGGACACCTGCCCACACATTCGTGTCCAGAGTTGTTGGGGGTGAAGTCCCTGAGGACGTCTGCATCCTGTCCCTGACCATCTCAGACCCTCTCCCCTCCCAGACCCCGGTGGCCTTGGCATCTTACCCTGGCCCAGAGCCCATCCGCTCATCAGAGTCTGCGCCACACTTGGTGCCAGCCCGTGCAATCTGTGCCCACTGGAGGGCAGGGACACTTTGCTCTGGGGTCGCCCCAGATCCTCCCTGCTTGCTCATTTGCATGCGGCATCCTGATTGGCTCTCAACGGGTGCTTGTTCTCTAGCTCCCCCGACACAAAGGTAGTAGGCGGGGCCCATATTGGCCCCTCCCCATTTATTCCATCTCTCACTACTTTCCGAGCCCAGAGAAAGAGGTTCTGATCTTCGGTCCACATCGGCTCTGAGGGACAAAGCCGGTCTCCTCGAGACCCAAGCACCGTCTTTGGCTTCTCGCTGGTCCCTGCATTGTCCTGGGCCTCTTGCTTTCTGTCTTCTTTCCAGTGTCCTCCCTTGGCCCAGTGGAAAGAGTCCCGGCTCTAAGCCACAGACCTAGTTTAAATTCCTAGCTCTGCTGTCCTCTCCTCTGCGAGTCAAACTCTCTAATCCTCTGCTCCTCCTCTATAAATAGAGTTGAATGTCCTTCCACACGGGAGCATGAAGATTAAATTTTCATACAACACACTGGCACCCCACAATATCCCTGTATATCTTTATCTCCTGTCTCCCTATTCCTGACAAAATCCTCATACAGTCCCCCTCCCAGGTATCACCTCTTCAGAGAAGCCTCCCCAAAAGTCTCACCCTTCCTTCCCATACAGAATGATTGCAAACCCCATCCCAGATTCTGCCACACTTTGTAGTTACTTATTTGTTTACCGGATGGAGCTTCTTGGGAGTAGCAACTAAGGTGCTCACCCCTAATCTCTAATATTCCTAATATCACTAGTAGTATTAGAATAAATACTCACTAAATGTAAATTTTCTCCTTCCACTCTTGGGACACTCAGGACCGTTGGCCTGTCCAGGATCAGCATCCTAATGGAGAATTAAGTTGACTAAAGTCCGATGATTTAATAATCATGTTTGAACACAACAGTTCTTATGCCAAGAGCTTGGTGAACTCTTGAGTCCTCCAATTCTTGCACCGCCCTTATGGAACGGACTATTATTTGTTATTCTCAAGCTTGGCTTTGTCCTCTCTGCCCCTGACCTAGGGAACAGCTAGAGCCTAAAGGACCAGAGCAGACCCAGTTGCAGGCTCAGAGCTTCAGAGGTAGTCCCAGCTCCACTACTCCTGGCAGGGTCACTTTGGGCAAGAAACTTCCTTTCTCAGAGCTTAGTATTTTCACCTGTAGAACAGATTGGTAAACAGAGATGGCATTACCAATATCATAGGCTGAACACAAATACTGCAAGTCCCTTGGGAAAATCAAGACAGCTACATCATGTCAGCCATGTGACTATTTGAATAGTCACGGGTAGAGAAAGCTAGTCTGGACCAGAGGGAAAAAAGGAGGCTGTGAATGTAAAAACTAAGAGACAGAAGCAGGGGTTAGTGCTTTCTCAAATGAAGCAATTGGTATTACATGTTTTCTTTTATTTTCTTATTGTTTAGAACTTTTACAAACCACACACACACACAGCCTCCTCTTAGAAAAATCAGTGAAAGATAGCACTGGCTGGTGTGACCCAGTGGACTGAGTGCCCATGTGTGAACTAAAGGGTGGCCAGCTTGATTCCCAGTTACGGCACAGGCCTCGGTTGTGGGCCAGGCCCCCAAGTAGGTGGTCCGCGAGAGGCAACCACATATTGATGTTTCTCTCCCTCTCTCTAAAAATAAAGAAAATCTTCTTACAAAATTTTTAAAAAAGAGAAATCAGTTAAAGACAACTAGGCAATTTGAAAAAGAAACATAAAGTGCTAATAAAACCGTGGTGTGACTTGGTTGTTTGGAGTATCCTCTGGTAGCCAGAAGTTTGAGGGTTTGATTCTGGCCAGGGAACATGCCTGGGTTGCAGGTTCGATCCCCGGTCCAGGCGCATGTGGGAGGCAACTAATTGATGTTTCTTTCTCTTGCATTGATGTTTCTCTCTCTCCCTTCCTCTTTCTTTAAAAGCGATGGAGGGTAGGCAGAGACAAATGTATTTGAAAAAATAAATAAATTTTGGATATTAATCCCTTTAAAAAAAAAGAAAAAAAAAGCGATGGAAAAGAAATGTCCTTGGGATAAGGACAAAAAAAAAAAAAAGCTAATAAAAACATGAAAAAGCTTATAGTCACCATAAAAAAGTGAAACAAGAATGAGATAACATTCATTTGATCACTATTTCTCAAAATTTGGGGGTGGGAGAGAAGAGGAATTGGGTGGGTCTATTTGCTTAGTGAAAGTACTAGGACACTATACCCAGAAAGTTAACAGCACTAATCTCCGGGGACATTGAGATTTCCTTCTTGAAGTTTTCTTTCCTGTATTTTTTTCATATTAAGTGTCATTTTTGCAGTCACTGAAAGTTTCGCGTTGCAATAAATCTATCCACGGTCTAGTTAAGTCGAAGCACACTGGGTGAAGTGGGGGGTCGTTGCAGTACCACGGCGGGACCGCTAGGTGGCAAGAACAAAGGTGCTGCGCAGGCACGTCGAGTGTGAGAGTTTAGGGGCGGGGCCTGGACTGTTTAGTCCACACCCTTCAAGTCCCCAGCCGCTGGCAAAGGGAAAGGATGTCCTGGCCGCGCGTGCAGCTGGTGGTCACCGCGGACGACTTTGGTTACTGCCCGAGGCGGGATGAGGGCATCGTAGAGGCCTTCCTATCCGGGGCTGTGACCAGCGTGTCCCTGCTGGTCAACGGCGCGGCGGCGGAGAGCGCTGTGGAACTGGCCCGCAGGTGAGGAGTGACCCCCTACAGAGAGTCAGGGCGGGCTAGGGTCATCGCCGCTCCGAGGCCGCCAGTACTCCTGCTCGCTTTCCACCCTCAGGCACCAAATCCCTACCGGACTCCACGCCAACTTGTCTGAGGGCCGCCCTGTGGGCCCGGCCCGCCAGGGCGCCTCTTCGCTGCTTGGGCCCGCAGGCTTCTTCCTTGGCAAGATGGGATTTCGGAAGGCTGTAGCGTCCGGAGATGTGGTCTTGTCCCAGGTGCGGAAGTGCGGCTTCAGGAGGACCCCTCCCACCAAGGCTCCGCCCCGAGGGTACCATGACGCAATCAGGGGCGGGAGCGGATGCTGGATGGTTGCCTGATTCCCACTGCGGAGCAGTCACGCAGCGGCACGGGGAGGGGTTCCCTTCGGCAGCTGCTTCCGGATGTTTAAGTTGCCGACTGCCGCCTCCTTCCAGGTGCGAGAAGAGCTGGAAGCCCAGCTGAGCCGCTTCCAGGAATTACTGGGCAGGAAACCCACTCACGTGGATGGGCACCAGCACGTGCACGTGCTCCCGGGTTGGTGGTCCCAGGCAGGGGGCGATGTGCCCAGGTGGGGTGGGAGGTGCTCCCAAGTAGGAAGACGTGCCTCCTCCCTGACTGCACCCCGCCCGCCCTCCCGCAGGCGTGTGCCAGGTGTTTGCAGAGGCGCTGCAGGCCCACGGGGTGCACTTCACTCGGCTGCCGTTGGAGCGCGGATTGGGCAGCTGCACGTGGCTGGAGGCGCCCGCGCGCGCCTTCGCGTGTGCGGTCGAGCGTGACGCCCGGGCAGCTGTGGGTCCCTTCTCCCGCAGAGGCCTCAGGTAGGCCCTCCCCACTCCCAACAGCTGTGCCCTGTTCCCTGCCTGGCCCAGCTCCCAGTGGGTTCCACTGGCTGAGCAAAAGGCAGTTAGGCTTCGACCAGCAGTGGCTCTACCTCTAATCCGTCCGCCCTCAGCCTAACCCAACCCATCGCTGTCTTGCCGGTCCCTGCTGTGATGCCTGGATATCCACAGGTGGACCGATATCTTCGTGGGCCTGAGCACCTGCGGCCGGCATATGTCCGCTCATCGCGTGTCAGGGGCACTGGCTCGGGCCCTGGAAGATACCCCCTCAGGCCACTGCCTGACAGCGGAGCTGATGGCCCACCCAGGCTACCCCAGTGTGCCACCGGCTGGAGGCTGCGGTGAGGGCCCCGACGCATTTTCCTGCTCTTGGGAGCGACTGCATGAACTGCGTGTCCTCACCGAACCCACACTGCAGACCCGGCTTGCCCAGGATGGCGTGCAGCTCTGTGCCCTCCATGACCTAGACTCCAAGAGACCTGGGGAAGAGGTCCCTGGCGAAGCCACTCTGGACACCTTCCTGGAGTCCTCTCAACTGTGACCCAGACAGCCAAGAACGCACGCTGTGGTGCTCAGGAAGGGGGCAAGGGCTTTGTCTGGCACAGTCCACAACCAAACCCTAGCGTGGGTTCTCTGACTTCCCTAGGCAGAGGGGTGCCACCTCTATGCCCAGGTCCTCATGACTCACAGAGTGCAGCCAAAGCTTTGGCAAGCCCTCTTGGCTGCAGGCAGGTCAGCTTGTGACATCTTGCCCTGGCACTTGCCAAGCATTTAGTGCGCTTCACGTTTCCATGTCAACATTTTCTTTGTTTAGGTGTAGTGGTGAGAGATCACTATTAATAAAATAACTTCCACTGGGTCTTGTAAACTTGAGCGATTTATACATTGTGCCCAGAAAATCTTCACAGACACACAAATGGACAAAAACAACTTCAGGACCCAAACCTGGTTGCTCTTCCAGAAAAAGATATAAAACAAGCTCCAGAGTCTCATTTTGCTCATTCTTAGAGTTTTATTCTTTGGGGAGTGCGGGGGTAGAAGAATGTCTCACCTATTTTTGGGGAGGTATATAATAATCTCAATTTTAAGAAGTCACTTGTTCTAAGTCAGCAGTTCTTTGCTATCGTAGGGGATAGGTCTGAGAAGGTCCTGGAAGCTCCAAGGTTTTCATTTAAATTTTTCCAGGAGATGCGGGGAGCAGATGGGGAAGGGGTAAGGAGGGAATTCTTGGAAGCACAGGGAGTCCTGACCGACTCTGGGGGATGGAAAGGCAGATGGCAAACCACGTGATCCTTCTTGTCTCGTGTAATACTGCTTAATTGCAGGCACTAATGTCCCCCTTTTACAGACCTAGTGGTGGAAGTGGCAGAACAGGGCTTTGAAGCTATCTGTTCATGTATTTGCTATGCACTGTGCCAGGCATGGAATCAGGTGCCAACAGAGCTCTTCTGGCCTAGGCAGCCTTGAGGGACATGCAGCTTTCTGAAGTGGGGGGTGGGGTGGGGTGGAGGTCTCCATCCTTTCTGCCTCCATCCACCCATGACCCCATCTTTGACTGTGGCTTCAGCCCCCTCTTTTCTGGCTCCATCTTCCATCTGAACCTTCCCTTGACCTTGACTTTCCTAGGTACAGCCCCTTTCCTCCTACCTTTCATTCACAGCTGTAAACTGGAACCATTGTGAGTCTGGTCCCTCCTGTTGTCTTGCCCTCACTTCTGTGCCTCAGTTCACTGGGGTCCGGCCACACTCCTGCAGGCTGCTGGCTGAACTAGTAGGGGTGACCTGATGGCCGCTTGGTGGCACAGGGGCACCGCCCTCAAGGGGGGTTTGCTGTTCTGAGGCAGCTGGCTGTGTGGCTCTCAGGCTCAGGACAGATGTGGATGGGCAGGAGGGAGACTTGGGGATCTGTACAGATGCCAGATGAAACTGTGGGAGTAACTACTGTCACTCAGGGAGGGAAAGAAGCAGTGCTAGGGGCCATCAGTGTTTAAGACTCCCCTTCCGGGGCCTTGGTTATGGCTTCTGCAGTATTGGGTAGTCAGCTTTAGTCTGATCTTCTTGAGGCCCACACGGTGCCCCCAGGAGCATAGTCTGCAAGCAAGAACACTTTCAATCACCCAGGGTCTGCTGTTAACCAAATACTGCCTGGGCCAGGCGCTATGCTCAAGTCCCAACTTTAGCTCTGGTCCTCAGGTAGCTGCCACTCCCCCATGTTGCATGAGGGAAGTAAGGAGAAGCCAATTTGGATGGGGCAGGAAGAACTCACACCAGTTCTGGCTTAGCCTTCCACTGGGTCAGGTGGCTGCCCTACAGGGCAGGGCATGGAGGTGCTGCCCAGTGAAGAAAGAGCAGGGCTGAGGCCACCAGCCTCTCAACCTGGCCCTGAGGAAGTTCTCTGGCCCTTGCCAGAGGAACCTCAGGGGCTAGAGGGTGACAGAGGCCAGGCTACAATGGGACTGGAGTGATGAAGTAGGTGCTTGTTTCAAGCTGAACAATTAAAACTGAAGGCAAGAAAATGGCAGTTCCAAGGTTCAGGAAGTTGAGAGGGTCTCGCAGGCCTCTGGCTTCGAGGAGGGGTGAAATGTGGCTGTGTCTGGGCCCAAAGGGACCAATGGTAGAACGCAACAGGAGCTAGACTGTAAAACCAGACCACGTACCCTTGGCTGTCACTGAGGATCAGTTTTCTCCTCTGTAAAAATAGGAATAATGGTGCCCATGGGGCTGTCCTGAGCTTTACCAAGGATGGCATTGGGACTAGGCAGAGCACCCCGCTGATGATCACAGGGAAGGTCTGCTCCTTGCTTCCTGGTAACATGACACCCCAGGTAAAATCTTCCCTCCTGGAAACCTGCAGACTTGGCCTGGTCTCAGCTGGTTTCATTACAGGCAAGGAATTTGGCTGATTAAAAGTGTCAGGGCCCTGGGCTGCATCAGTGCCTTAGCAGGACACTGTCCTGGGGACTCAGGGTGTTTCTGGGTGGAACCTTCTAGTAAGTGGCCTAACAGCACCCTCAGGTACACCCCCTCATTAGTTCCATGACCTTGATCAAGACAGCCAGTTTGCTCCTCTGCTAAATCTGGATAATATCACTCTCCTAGGGCTGACAGGACTGAAGTGATACATACATAGAGGCACGGTCCCCTCCCCAGACACCCAAGGGAGTCCCTCTGCAGACCCCAATAATCTGAACTCTTAGCCTTTTCTGCTCCCCTCGGGGAGTCCTCTGTGCGCCTCTTCCAGAGGCTGGGCATGGGGAGAAGCAGGCAGAAACTGTGGGAGGCCCGAGGCCCCAGCCAGCCCTCCCACACCTCCAAGAGCACCGGCCCCTGGCACTGCCACTGCCAAAAAGGAAGAAACCCACACAACCAATTCAGTGTTGGAGAGCATTTTTATTAAGGGCAGCAGAACGGATCGCAGCATCTTAGAAAGCCTATTCTCTGCCATGGGGGGCAGGGAGGAGTGGGAGGAGCTGGCCCACTTTGGTTCGGTTCAGGCAGGAATAAATTCCTGAGTGGGCTCAGGTCAGTGGTGACAACTCTCCCCTTCCCCAGAGGACCCAATTGTTTGGCTGTGGAGCTGCCAGGGCGCCAGCGTGCTCAAAGCCTGCCTGAGGGCCTGGCGACCACCGGAACTGCTTCAGGTTGGGTGGAACAAGCCACCCAGGCCTGAGGGAGGGACCACCTATGGCCTTGCTCTCCCAGGGTCAGGCCTCTCCTGACTGGGCAAATGGTGGGGTGCAATGCCAGGGCTGAGTACCCTGAGGGGCTGCCAGTTTGACAAAGGTACCTCCCGTGGTGAACAGAGAAGTGAGGGGTGACAGGCAGGCAGAACTATGCTGGTAGAAACAAGAAGCAATGGGACAGTTTCAAGAATGGCAGTAATTTTGGATTCAGAGAAGCAACGATGGTGGCTTATTTGGATAGCTACTGACAGATTTTGGCATTTTATTACAATCTGTGTGTGAGTGAAATAAAGTCCATCATCATCTTTCTGCTAATGAAGAGACAGATGTGGAAATGCTGGCCCAGCTCTCCTGGGCATACAGGAGTCTCAGAACCTGTCCCGTGAGTATGCAGGACTAAAGCTGAACCCATCGGTACACCGCAGAGACCACACACCTGGGCGACTAAACAGCGTTATGCTGCCAAACCTGCCCGTCACTCCCATTTCTGCACAGGTAAAAAAACCAAGCTGTCTTACAGGTCGTAAGCCCTGGAAAGATCTCAAGTTTTAGAACTAAAATTAAAACAAAGCAAAGTTTAAGTCATTTGTCCACAGAATCTAGTACCCTGGAGAGCCAAGAAGGGAAGCCACCAGTGGCCGAAGCAGAGATGGTGACTTCCTCTGGGTGTCAGTGACGTGTATTCTCCACTATTTCAGGGACAATCCCACTTGCTTTGAAAAAGACATTAACATTCAAACCCTGACAAGTTCATCTGAGGATAAAGTCTAAGGTCAATTTTTATTTCTACAAAAAAAGGCAGTCAAAACAATATAAAACACATGTAAAGGATATTATTGAGTGAGCTTCAAGTGGAGCTTGACTCTGCAAAGGCTGTGAGTCCAGAGGGAGAGGGAAGGCCGTCTTGTTCCTGGGCTGAGCTGGCCTGGCCCGCTGCTTCGAAAGAAGAGGCCAGCAGGGTTCCAGTGACCCCGGACTGGTGCTGGCTATAGCCGAGTCCTGCCAATTCCAACCCCGCAGAGTCAAACCGTGCTGAGGGAGGGCTGAAGTGGGGCTGCTGCACTGAGGAGTTGGAGAGCGAGCTCTGTGGCACATTCAGATGGAGCTTGCTGACAGGTGACCGTGGAATTTCAACGAGACATTCTGGCTTTAGCGTTGTCTGCAATGACCAACACATCTTCTAAAATGGCTGCAGGGAGGAGCACCAACCTTCGACCTCAGGAGCCTCCCTGATGAAAAATTCCTCGCACAAGTGCAGTGTCCTCTGGCTGGCAGGCCCTGCCCTGGGGTGGCCACAGGCCTGATATTGCAGGGTTTTCCCAAGCAGGCCGGGCCAGGCTGGAGTTCAGTCACACACACAGACACTAGGTTGCCATTTAATCAACGTTATTGTGGTAACATTGGCCAGATTTTTTACATAAGAGCTGGGCCTCCCTTTTCACAGCTTTTTTTTGGGGGGTGGTGGCGGTGATAGTTTGCTTTTTAAGTTTTTTAAAAAAGGATGTTATAAATTGGAGCCAGTATAATTTGAACAAACTCCCACACTGGGCAGTGCAATATGGGAGAAGAGAAGCCACCAGACTGGAGAGAGCCGTCTTCTCTCCTTTGTGGAGGAGACAGGGCCTGGGTCTGGGGAAGTGAACGAGTGAAAAATCAACTGAATGCCAGAAAGTGGGAGCTGCAAGGGCAGGGGAAGAAAGGGAACCACAACGTTTTATGTTAAACTTTAAGGTCTAAATGTAAATTGAAGACTTTGGATAAATTTGGACCAAGAAAAGAAACACCATTCTTTTAGAGTAGATTGAAGCAGTGATTTTTAAAACAAAGAGAGCAGAACTAGAACATCTTAAATTTTTAATCCTTTCTTTACAGGTTACCTATATCACTTTTGATTAAGAAAACTGTAGAAAGTTAGTAACTGCCACAAGCGAACGCCAGGCGGTGGCACATGTCAATTTCCACAGAGTCCTGCTTTGCGAGGTGTCTGAATGCACTGCTCGGGTCTCTGCTCACACTCACTGGAATCAATCGCGGCAGATTTTAGTCCACAGGTCGCTTTTCCCCATATTTCTTTGTAAACTCTTCAGCATTCTTACAGAATTTTTTACGGTCCTTAGAGTATTCTTCAGCTAGGTCAGCCCGAAGCGGGTGCTCGGGCTGGGGGTCGTTCACCAGTGCTATGAGGGACTGGATTACTGCCAAGAAAAGGAGAGGCATTGCTGGTTACAAGTCTCAGAAAGCGCCCAGGCAATACAGGCAACTCCTAACACTGATTTACAGCTATGTGCTTTTAAGACAAAGTGGCTTCCAATTTATCCAAAATTTTAATCACCAGCACTTAACTTTCTTCTATAATTAGGAGAAAGATATGGACAACAGTCAACAGTGGGTAACTGTTCAGAGTGATGCCTCGTCGTCGTCATCGTTGTCGTCAACTGGGAACCTTCCTGACTTGACAACCCTGGGGAGTCCCAGTCCCCAGTCACTCCCATCCCCCTCCCGAACTTTGGAGACTTTGGGTCTGTCTCTCTCTCTCTCTCTCTCTCTCTCTCTCTCTCTCTCTCTCTCTCTCATATGCATACGTGCGAGAAGCTTCTCCAGGGCAAGGACTGAGTGGTGTGTTTCAGAACTGCACTCAGTTCAGGGCAGTTTCAATGCGTATGAGAAGGAAGGGTGCACGACAGGCCTGCACCATGTAAATGCAGAGCGAGCCCACCCTGGAAGACCCTGAGGAGCTTCAGAACCAGCCGAGAAAGGTTCATCTGACTGCCCTGTCTAACCACTGGCAGTGTATCACCCAGTGGCATCACACTGCGTTCCAGAGGGAGATGGCACACCGAATCACACCAATGGCTCGCGGTGGGGGGGGGGGGGGGGGTCGCACAATGACCCTCTAAAGAGCAGTAAGTCCTACATGTACTTAAAGGCTGGCCCTGGGAAGAAACCATGAGGGAACTAAAGGTGGGGGAGGGTGATTGAGGTTAGTATGGAAGGTCCAGGAGCCCCGGCCTCCTCAGGAGTGGGGCGCACCACACCTTCTCACACACACTTCCTCTCACCCCCAGCCCTAACAGGACGAGTATCCCTAGAATGCTGCATTCTTTCCCACTGGCATATTCCTCGCACCACATTCCCAGCAAGAAGGCATCTCTCCTCTGGACTGCCAACATCACGGATTCCTTTGTTGGGGGCCCATGTTTTCCATGCCAGCACTGTGAGGAATGGATTCAAATGCTAGTGCTGGTTCAGTCATACACAAACACATAACCAGTCAACAGCACCATGCTGAACAAGGGGAACAGCACAAACCTCTCCTGCCCAGGTGTCCAAACACCACCTACACCCCAGTCCCCCTCCAGGTGAGCAGAGGCAACCAAGGTTCCTGCGGCCACAGTAAGCACAGGTGAGGCAATGGCGTAAACGCAAGGGTGGCTCTGCGGGGCTGAGTAAGGGGGAAAGGTGGCTGGGCAAGGAGGGTGGGTTGGGAGTAGCCAGCAGGGGTGAAAGGCCTGGACGTATCTGCAGACCCCGGCCATCTGCCTGCAATTCAGTTTCTCTGCTACCCTTAGGGGCAGACATTACCACCTCCCTTAACATACAATCTGTGTCATCTATAAGAGAAAGCACACCCTGGAAGTATATTTTTGTCTCTTTTATTTCAAAATGTATCCCTTCTACATTCAGTTCTTACCTACCTGAGACAAAATGATGATAAAGCTATTTTGCTTATTGCTATTTCCCCAACTTTAACCATTTGGTATTCCACTGTTTGCCATATATCCACATATAGCCTAAACGATAATTTACTTAATATATTTTTTGAAATTTCACTTTTTAAGATAAATATTTTTTAAAGGAAAGTAAATGTTAGTAACTCAAATGGAAAAGAACTTCTACTTGCCATAAACAGAAGGCATGCATCAACAAAAGAACAAGGCATTCCTGGTTGGACAGTCTCAGACAAACACGAGAATAAAGCACCTAAGGCTTCCTCCTGTCCAGCCTGAGGAAGAGACCACACTGGAACAAACACTCTTCCAAACAGCACCTTCATAGCTTCTCTAAAACACTGTCCTCAGCTCACTGGCCATGCTTAGTACACTCCAAGATCCTCCACTTCTCATTCAGACGTAAGACTGCTCCATTCTCCTTATATGCTACTTATAGCATTGAAGAATAGAGTGAAGAAATAAAATGGAGTCACTGTGGTCACGTTGCTAAATTAATTATTAAAGTATGCTGAGGTATGGAGGCGTGCCTTATCCAGGCTTAAACTACTTCTTTTTTAAAAAGATTTTATTGATTTATTTTAGAGAGAGGGGAAGGGAAGGAGAGAGAGAGGGAGAGAAACATCGATATGAGAGAGAAACATCGATCAGTCACCTCTCAAATGTGCTCAGCCAGGGATTGAGCCCGCAACACAGGCACATGCCCTGACCAGTAACTGAACTGGTGACCTTTTGCTTTGCAGGGTGACAACCCAACCCACTGAACCACACTGGTCAGTGCAGTCTTAAACTTCTGAACTTATGTCAATGTCTGGATTCACATCAATTGCTGTGTCAATACCTGGAGCTACATCAAACCTTCAGATGACCATCCAAATAACTTCAAGAAAAAATGGTTCCATTGTTCAGAGCACTGGACATCTAAAAATCACCTTCTTGGACCAATCTTGACCCTAAGTGCAGGACTGATTCTTCTCAGAAACAAACTTTTTACTCTAAGAACCCCCCCCAGCTTTTCTTCCTCCTTCGAAACACCTATACACTTTGCCCAGCTGTGTTTCCAGTTTGCAAACTGTAAGAAGCTTGAAGAGATCTTCTAACAAAGCGTCTTCACTCTTTCTGAGTCCCACTGCATAAACAGGTGGCTTCTAGTCTTTTTCCATGATTAGAAATGGTTTTGTAGCAGAACTGATACTTCATTAACATTTCAGAAACCCCACAGGATTGAATGCTTTGGGGTGGCTGTGGGGTGGGGCACTCATGAGTTTTCAAGTTTTCCTGGTCACTCTCTGTTATGGATACTCAGCCTTTTGGCTTCCTACTATGGTTATCTTAATACCTAATGTATTAGTATAAGCCATTCGATAATTATTAAGACATGCCTTTAAAAAGATATTAACTCTGCAAGTTTGCTATTTGTCTATTTGATTCTTTCCTGAGAACTTGCTTTTACTAATTTGATCAAATTTAAATATTTTCAAATTTATTCAGTAGTTCTGATGAGTATTTCATTCTTTCTCTGTTCTTTTGGGTGTATTTCTGTCTCCTCAGCTAACCTATGATAAAACCCAACTGAGCTTAATTAGCTTGTTTTGACTGATTGCTATGACTGCTTGTCAAAGTACAACTATGGCCCCATGCCATCATTTTTTACATATAGAACAGCATGCTCATTTTATTTTATAAATGTCTGGCCCTGGTTTATTGACTCAAATGCTCCCCAGAAGTACTTTTATTCCTCCAAAAAATAGGGGCTTAAATACAATAAAAATTTACCTCCTATTCTCTCATTGTACAAGGTGGGGCAAAAGTAGGTTTACAGTTGTGAGTGTGTAAAACAGTTTATTCTTGTATTATTATTTATTAGCTATTATATTATTTTCCATACAAACTGCAAACCTACTTTTGCCCCACTCTGTATACTATCAGAGAATAAAGCCTTTTAAACCTCCTCATTTTTTTTCTGACTGTTCTTTTGTAATTAAGGATGTTAACCCTACCTGTAATTTCCCCCTTTTCCTGGAGATCCAAGGTGTTCCACTCTCACAGAGTAAGATGTGAATGGTAGCTTCCATGGAATGTATTATAAAAATGTTAAATCAATCTTGACCTGTTTGCTATATTTCTTGAGTCCTTTTTATAAATTTCATTTAGTTGATTTGGTATAATAGTATGAGGGGGACTGAAACATTCAATTTATAATTGTTTTATTTTTCTCTATATAATTTTGTTACGTTGTTTAATACATATAGAATCAGTATTATCCTGGCTTTCTTACTGGCTGTATTTTATAACAAATCCCATTAAACCACAAAACTAAGATCTAGCTCTGTTACTAAGGTATCTATTAGAACTGGACACACAGCTGAACAAAACTTTATTTTCACATTTTTCTGGTATTATTATTGCTAATTCCTACTACCTTTCTGTTTGATATAATTTTGCCTTGTTTCTTGACTTTTTGTCATGTTACTTTTGCTTAAGTTTTAATGCTTCTTGACTTTCTTTTTAAAAATTGAGATGTAATTCACAATACGCCTGGTCGTGTTACGACACATCCTGCCCAGTCCTCCTCCCGCCTCTCTCACCACCCCACTTCTCAGTAAGGAAGGGGACCCTGTAACTCTCTGTGGCCGAGCAGTCTGAGGTGCAGGGGCTGCATGGGCAGCCTAGCCCAGAAGGACTTCCCCTCCCCAGGCATGGTGTTTAATACCACAACTTGGCAAGGGCTCCAAGAGCTGTGTGAGGGGCTGACAAGACATTTCTGAACACTTGCGGCTATAGGCTTCAAACACAGAGCTATGACTTTGTGGCTCAGCTAGAGTGTTGTCCCGACATGCCAAGGTTGGGGATCTGATCCCCCAATAGGGCACATATAAGAATCAACCAATGAATGTATAAATAAGTGGAACAACAGATCAATGTTTCTCTTTCCCTTCCTCTCACTCTGAAAAAAAAGAAAAGAAAAAAAAACCCCAAACCAAAAACAACTTTGTCAAGCTTTTGCTAGTCATATAAACTTGTACATGACCAAGTGCTACGTGCACTGGAGATCTTCCTATTTTGACTCAGCATTCAGAACCAACTCTTCTCTGTTACTAAGCTGTGTTGAGCCTGAGGCTGAACATTCCATGTGAAAGACTTTCAACTCCGTCTTCCAGGAGTTCCAATGAAAAATGACTATTTACATCATTCACCGAAAAACCACCTGCCACCTTGCAAATTCCAGCCTTAACTACTATCTTTAATCTAAAAAGACCTTATGGGAGAAGGGAGGTATAAGGGCACTAAATGGTAATGGAAAAAATACAATAAAGGTTAAATCAAAAAAATAAAAAGACCTTATAGTGGTTTGGCTCATTACTTATAAGAAAGCCACCCAAAATATGAGATTAAGACTTCAAAAGAAAGTTCTGGAATTAGGAAATAAAAACTAGACAAAACCTACTAACTTTTAGGAGACGAGAGGGAGGCCAACAATAATATTAAATTAAGTACCCCCCCCAAAATGAGCATACACATGTTTACAAAGAGACATCCAGACACATGGACACACAGGGGAACATCCAATTCCAGGGAGTTCCAGGCCCACTAAAGCCAGCTAAGTGCTTTCATTTGGGCACAGAGCCCTTGAGCCTGACTGTACCTCTACCCCAATACCACCCAGTTTGAGCCACTGGCTTTCTGCTGGTGCCTACCAAGTGGATTTGGCTTGTGCCCTTCTTTTAGTCTGAAGGTCCTCTCCAACCTCTCTTCCTTCATGTCTGAGTACACTTGCTAACTGCTGAGTAAAGAACCTTAAACACCATTCCCCCTATCTCCTTAAGGCAACCTCATAATCATTCCTGAAAACTGCCAGGGAACAGTACTTGCATCCCTCACTGCACAGGCAGCAAGTACTGGGCTGATCTGTCTACATGTGTCCCCAGTGGGCTGTGAGCACAGGTAGGGCCTCCTCACAGAGCTGCGCAGGCCAGCAATTTGAGAGGTGCCATGCCCACAGGATTGGTGGGACCTCAGCTGTACTTGTGTGTGTACTGGAGTTGGTAAGGTATGATGTCTCTGGACTGTGTGTGACATGGTATTAGAAGGCACAGAGGAACCCCGTCCCACAGAAGCATCCCCAGAAGATCACCATCAGAGGAAGACACAGGGGCATGTCTTACCTTGGTCGGTTTTGGTTGCTGGCTTCCAGTTTTCAGCACTAATTACTGGCAGACAGACCTGCCCCTTTTCATCGATGTTGGGGTGATAGATCTTTGTTTTAAATGTGATCTTCGGTGGTTTGAATGGGTACTCTGCTGGAAAGTTGATTTCGATTCTGAAGGCCCCCTTATCATATGGAGGGTTGTCCTGCAGGGAGAGAAGAGATCAGAATGAAAACACCATGGTAAACAATTCTGTAGCTGAGACAGGAACGTTCAGTTTACTTGAAAACTAATTTAATTTCAACTAATTTAAACTAATTTAATTTAATTTCAAGTGGTATATCCACAGAAGCTTTGTTACTTTTAGGGCAACCAACAATCAATCAGCATTTCTAGAGCAAGATGTTTGCTAAACCGTGAAAAGGTCTGAGATCGATGTTCTGGCTTATTTTCTTTCAGTAGACTTTATTTTTAAGAGTAGTTTTAGTTTCATTGCAAAACTACCCTGGCCTGCACATATGCAGGCTCCCCCACTATCAACATCTTGCAATAGCGAGGTATACTTGCTACAATCAATCAACCCACAGTAACACACCATTATCACCCAGACTCTATAGTTTATGTTAGGGTACACTGTTGATGTTGTACATATGGGTTTTTGTACGGTATCATACACTATAGCTGGAATCATACAGTATGCAGCCTTTTCAAATTGCTTTCTTTTACTTAGCAATTTGCATTTAAGGTTATTCCGTGTCTTTTAATAGCTTGATAGTTCATTTCCCTTTAGTACTAAATAATAATACTCCATTGTCTGGATGTACTACAGTCTAATTATCCATTCATCTACTGAAAGGTAATTTGGTTGCTTCCAGTTTTTGGCCATTACAAAAAAAATCCTATAAATATCCACAGGTAGGTTTTTATGTGGACATAAGCTTTCAACTCCTTTGGGGTAAATATAAGGAACATGACTGATGGATCACAGGGTAAGAGTATGTTTAGTTTTTCAAGATGTCGCCAAACCATCTTTCAAAGTAGCTGTACCATTTTGCATTCCCACCAGCAATGAAAGTTGTTCACTGACACATCCTCCCAGCATGTGGTGGTGTCAGTGTTTTAGGTTTTCTCCCTATTTCTTTTTTTGAAATCCTCACCCGAGGACATTTTTTTCATTGCTTTTAGAGAGAGAGGAAGGGAAAGAGAAACACTGATCAGTTGCTTGCTCTATGCAGCAGGATCATATGTGCCCAGACTGGGGATTGAACCCACAACATTTAGGTTAGGGGATAACGCTCCAACCAACTGAGCCATACCAGCCAGGGCTGGTTTTCGCCCTTCAAAGAGGTGTATAGTGGAATCTCATTGATGTTTAAAAATTTACAATTCCCTAATGACACGATGTTAAATTTCTTATCAAATGCTTATATGCTATCCGTACATCTTTGGGAAGGTGTCTGTTCAGAATTTTTTTTTTTCTTGCCCATTTAAAAATCAGGGTCTTTTGCCCTGATCAGCATGGTTCAGTAGGTTGCACATCGTCCACAAAGTGAAGGGTCATTGGTTAGATTCCAGTCAGGGTGTGGTCCCCAGTAAAGGTGTGTATGAGAGGCAAGTGATTGATATTTCTCTCTCACATCGCTGTTTCTCTCCCTCTACTTTTCCCTCCCTTCCCGTCTCTAAAAAAAAAAAAAAAAAAAAGGATCATGGTCTTTGTTTCCTTTTTGTTGAATTTTAACAGTTCTTTGTGTATTTTGGGTAACAGCCCTGTATCATATGTCTTTTGCAAATCTCTATTTTTTTAAGATATGAAGGATCACACCAGTGGTAAATAACAACCCAACCCAAACCACACTGAGTGCTGACAATACTACAGATCCTGGCCATCTTGGTCTCATCAGGATGAGACAGCGGGATAGCTGGCCCCTAGCTAGTTTCCAGGCAGGACCAGAACCCTCTAATGGCCCAAGAGCCTCTGAGAGATGCCCCAAGAAAAAAGAGTCTCTGGAAATTAAAACCACAATGAGATATCAGTTAACGCATGTCAAAATAGCTAACATCAATATCCACAAACGACAAGTGTTGGCAAGGATGTGGAGAAAAGGGAACTAATGGTGGGAATTGCAAATTGGTACAACTATGGAAAAGAGTATGGGGGGATTCCTCAAAAAATTAAAAATCAATCTGCTTTATAATTCAGCAATTCCACTTCTGGGGATTTATCTGAAGAACTAAAAACACTAATTTTAAAGAATATATGCACCTCTATATTCGCTGCAGCATTATTTACAACAGTCAAGCTATGGAAACAACCCAAGCAACTCAATAGATGAATGGATAAAAAAGTTATGGTACAGGAGAAGCAGGATTTCTGGTCAAGGCAGACGCAAAAGTAAACACAGCTCACCTCCTAGCACAACCACAGCAAAAATTACAACTAGACTATAAAACAAGTATCACCCGAATCATCAGAAAATCGAGTTGTACGGAAGTCTGACAACCAAGGAATTAAAGAAGCCACATTCAGACCTGGCTGGTGTGGCTCAGTGGATTGAGTGCCGCCTGAGAACCAAAGGGTCTCTGGTTCAATCCCCAGTTGAGACACATGCCTGAGTTGCAGGCCAGGCCCCCAGTTGGGAACGTGCGAAGGGCAACCACACATCCACGTTTCTCTCCCTCTCTCCCCTTGCATCTCTTCTCTCTAAAATATATATAGAAGGGATTGGCAAGAAATTTTAAAAAGCCACACTCAGACGGGTAGGGCGGGCAGAATGCAGAGATGCATGGAGCAGCGGAATGGGCAGTCCCACACCCCTGTGCGGTGGATAAAAATATACCTCAGGAGCAAGAGATCCCACCCCCACACCAGATCACCCAGAATGCCAGTGCCATGAAGATAAGTCCCCATAACTTCTGGCTGTAAGAACCAGTGGGGTTGGGTAGTAGAAGCAGCTGTGGCATTCTCAGAAGTCTCCTCTTAAAGGGCCTGCAACAGACTTAGGACACACACAAACTCACTCCCTCGGGGCTTCAGCAGTAGGGCAACAGCTGGAAGGGCACCAGTGGCATATGGGGAGAAAATGAAGTGTCCAGCATCAGGGCAAGTGCCAGGAGACAGCTTCCTCTCACACGAAACTACAGAAGCCAGGCAGAGGCACTGTTCCCTCTCTGGGCCCTCCCCCACATAGAGCCACAGAGCACTGGCATGGGTTGCTGTGTCCTGGCAATTACCTAAGGCTCTGCTTCACCCAACTTACTAGTGCACTTTTCTACAATAGGCCACACTACTAAGACAGGGAATCCAGGAAGTTCTACCTAATACACAGAAACAAAGGGAGTCTACCAAAATGAGTAAACAAAGAAATATGGCCCAAATAATAAGAACAGAACAAAATTCCAGAAAAAGAACAAAATGGAGATAAGCAATCTATCAGATGCAGAGTTCAAACCACTGGTTATTAGAATTCTTAAGGAACTCACTGGGTACTTCAACAGCATTAAAAAACCCCAGGCAGAAATGAAGATTACACTAAGTAAAATTGAAAAAAATCTACAGGGAACCAACAGTAGAGAGGATGACGCCAGGATTCAAATAAACAATTTGGAACATAAAGAAGAAATAAGCATTCAACCAAAACAAGAAAAAATAATTAAAAAAAAAAAAAGAGGATAGTATAAAGTGCTCCTGGGGCATCTTAAACGTACCAACATCTGAATCATAGGGATGCCAGAAGAAGAGCAAGACACTGAAAACTTATCTGAAAAAAATAATGGAAGAAAACCTTAATTTGATGAAGGAAATAGATATACAAGTCCAGAAAGCACAGAGTCCCAAACAAGATGGACCCAAAGAGGACCACACCAAAACCCATCATAATTAAAATGCCAAAGGTTAAAGATAAAGAATCTTAAAAGCAGCAAGAGAAAAGCAGACAGTTACCTACAAAGGAATTACCATAAGATTTTCGGCTGATTTCTCAAAAGACACTTTGCAGGCTAGATGGGACTGGCCAGAAGTATTCAAAGTGATGAAAAGCAAAGGCCTAAAGCCTAGATTACTCTCTCCAGCAAAGCTATCATTTAGAATTGAAGGGCAAATAAAGTGCTTCCCAGACAAGGTAAGCTAAAGGAGCTCACCATCATCAAGCCATTACTACATGAAATATTAAAGGGACTTACTTAAGAAAAAGATCAAAACTATGAACATTAAAATGGCAATAAATTCACAACCATCAACAATTAAATCTTTAAAACAAACTAAGCAAACAAGCAGAATAAAACCGAATCACAGATATGGAGATCTTTTGGAGAGTTATCCGTTGGGAGAGGGAAAGGGGAAGATGGGGGAAAGGGACAGGGATTAAGAAGTACAAATTGGTAGGTACAAAATAGACAGGGGGATGTTAAGAACAGTATAGGAAATGGAGTAGCCAAACAACTTATATGCATGACCCATGGACATGAACTAAGGGGAAGGGGCTGCTGGAGGGAATGGGGGGGTACTGGGTAGAGGGGGGCAAAGGGGGAAAATTGGGACAACTGTAATAGCATAATCAATAAAGTATATTTTTTAAAAAGCTGTGGTACATATATACAATGACATGTTACTCAGCCATAAAAAAAATAAAAAAATCTTACTATTTGTGACAGCATGGACATATTAGGAGGATATTATATGCTCAGTGAATGAAATAAGTCATCAGAGAAAGACCAACAACCACATGATTTCATTTATATGTGAAATCTAAAGAACAAAATAAGTAAAATTGAAATAGACACACAAAGAACGAACTGGTGGTTGCCAGAAAGGAAGGTGGTTAGAAGACTTAGTAAAAGAGATGAAGGGACTGAAAAGCACAAATTGGTAGTTACAAAACAGTCATGGAGATGTAAATACAGCATAGGGAATATAAATAATATTGTGATAACCATGTATGATGCCAGTTAGGATACTGGAAACATCTAGGGAACACTATATAAAGTGTATGATTTTCTAACCACTAAGCTGTACACCTGAAACTAATACAAAATAAATTGAAAGAAAAAGAAGAGAAAAGAAAAAGAGCCTCCTGAGTCTCCCCCCAGACTCCCCCCAGCTACAGAGCTGCGCAAGGCCTTCATCTACTGTCTTTTCCCAGTACTCCCTGCTCTCCTGGGTCCCACACAGGCAGGCCATGTCGCATCCAACCCAAAGAAAGCCAAGCT